CCCCCTCGCGAGCGCTGGGCGGGAGCAAAGCGGCGGGGGCTGCCCCTGGCCAGCTTTACCATGCAACGCCTGGCGTTACGGCCCGCACGCTTCCTTGCTTCGGGAAGAGGGGGACTTCCCTTAGCCTGGGCAAGCGGCTCCTTTTAGGCCAGGCTGCTTCACCCAGAGTAATCATGGGCAGGCAGAGACCTCTAGTGCTCCCTCAGGAGATGACAAGCCACCAGCTGTGTCCTCACCCATGAAGGCATCTGCAAAGCTTCCAGCCCCCACCACCCTCCCTCTGCTTCTTCTATGGACTTGGGCCACCCCAATCTCACTCATGTCGTCCTCAACAGGGGAAGCAGGCTGGCAGAGGCTGCTCAGCCTCTGAAGACATGGCTGATGCCCCATCTCCTCTTTTCCTGGGGGAAAGAATCCCACATGCCCCCGAGGAACATAGGTCTGAGGGGCAGAGGCAGCAAGTCTGGTTTCTTCAATGATGCAACGAACTAATCAGCTCTAAGAGGATAACCACACAGCCCTGGCCAGCCCTCACCGTGGCAGCCTTCTCGTCCAAGGTAGGACTTACAGGAAAGGGAAGTGTACCTGCAGAGGCTGGGCCTCAACTACAAATCTCTCAAAAGCAAACAGGAGATGACCTGCACCAATTTGCTCCTGGCTTTGAAAGGCCTTGCCTGCCTCTGTTTGCCCCTCGCTGAAACGCAGCTGTTATCTCGAGCTCGCGGAGCGGATGGAAGATAATGCAGTGCATGGGCTGGTGCACCAAGCATGTAAATATGTGCGTCAAGCTGGGTCTTAGCCCCATTGCCATCCTGTACCTTACCAGCATGATGCCAACATGCTCTCACAAGAAAGGCGCCCAGTCTAACATAGATATCTCCCCTTTACTGACAAAGTTACAGCTGATGCTCACGCAAGTGTTGCGGTCTTATGCATCTTGCTGGTAAGCACCCGTCTTTAGCATCAGTCATAACACTGAGAACCATATATCCACAATATTCACCCCCAAAACTATCCTTATTCCTGTAATTTGGTTGACTAGATGAGGTCTGCACTGAAGCAGATGTCACCACTACAGTGTTTGTGCCTGGGGTGAGACTTTCTGTAAAGCTGCAGGGTGCCAGCACACTAGGGTAAGAAGGAAGCTTAATTATTCGGGATATTGGCCAGCACAACGCTGAAACTGGCTTTTCCCTCACTTTCTGCAGAGATGCACACTAATACCTGCCTACTTCGTAAAGCGAAAGGGCAGTGAGGTCCCAGGGTGAACGATGGCCATGAAGCGTGATTATTTTAAGCCAGAAGGTGCTACCCAGCCTCTGTTAAAAAGGAACTAGACACAGCTTTATTTTTCAACTTTTTTTTTTTTTAATTGTGCAAGAAAATCAGTGAGTTTCTCAGCTACAGTTGTGACGCTCAGCCCTAGCACAATCTGAAACTGGAGGCTTCCAGTGGCAGTACTGGGCAGGACAAGGCTGTCTCTTCAAGCAGGCACCACAGAAAGGCTGCTATGGACTAAGAGCAGACATTACACCCATGTCTACTTTCCACAGAAGATTAAAATTTTAATCACAAAAAAGAAAAAAAAAGCACCAATCTTTCCCAAGGAATATGAGTGGTTGCAATCAGGCTATTATCTCCTTCAACCAGCTGAAGGTGAAGGGTTTTCCTTTCACGGTCCCTTGTACCCTAGGATGCAGACGTGCCTTACCCAGAACTCCAGCGGGGTTTCCCGAGAGGAAACTCCCATCGTGTCCAGGAACCTGAAACAAGAAGCAGAGGATGGGTCTCACTATGTCCAGCCAGATCCTGCTCCCATAAGATGTGGAATGACATTCGCAGCCAGAGATGGACCTGCTCTACCTAAAGCTCCTCCAAAGCACCGAGAGTTTGATCAGAGATGCAGGAGGCAGCGTTGCATCTAATGGCCTATGCACAAGGGTTGTTCTGCTCTGTAAACAGATTAACGTGCCCTAGGGATGCCTGCCCTTCCCTTGCTTGCTTTGTAGAAGGCCCTATGGCTGAAATAGCACCACATATCAGTTATGGAAGCAATCAAGGTTTTGGGGTTTTTTTGTTTGTTTGTTTTTTTCCTTTTGCTAATCAATTAAGTTTCTCAGCCTCGCATCTCAGAGACCTATGATATGAAACTGAGATGGTTGCACCAGAGCAAGAACGCCATCCAGCTACATGGACTAACTCGACTGACTTAAACTGAGGTTAATAGTGCTGTGAGCAGCTGAGGATCTGATGTTTAAAGTCTCTGCCAACTATCCATCCAGAACTGAAGGGAAGGAGCGAATGCGTTACTGTAACGGTCACTTCTAGTTTTGAAGGGCTCATGGTGGCCTCTCTCTTCATTCAGTACATAAGAGGGGCTCTTCCACGTGCTGCTTATTTTCCTAGGCAGTTTTTACCTCTTTTCAGTTTCTTGGAGGAGAGTTTTTGCAGCTTCAGGCTCATTCTTCATGTAAACTTGATATGGAGAGACAGACTCAAAGTAACCAACCACACCAGCAACTGTCATAGGAATTTTATCAAAGATGTCAGTGATTCTAGAAAGGAAGCAGAAGAAGAAAGGAGCATTGGCAAATTAGATCTCAAAGGCAGCGGAATAAGGATGACCACAGACTAAGGTGCTGGTGACTAAAACTCATGACATAATCAGATGATGCCATCTCTTGGACCTCTAGCAATTATGGTATTTGATGAGTCAGCAGCTATAATGGATAAGCTGCTGGAGAAGCCAGCAGGTACCAGCTAACAGGTGGTCTAGTCACCCCTGACACATTCCTGATCCCCCTTTGTCAACGTGCTCTCCTCCTCGCCTCTTCCCCTCTCTCCACTCGTGGTGCTACACCTAGAACTTTCTCACCTCTTCTTGTCTTGAAATGGCAAGGCCTCAAATATCTCTTTGTAGTCTTCCAAGACATGCTTTACTCTACTATGCGAGTACTTAAAAATCACGTCCCTGGTCTGGAAAAAGAGAAGAGATTAAAAACAAAACCACTTAAAGCTCTCAGCCTTCACTTCTAAACTCAGGCTTTCTTGGCCCTAATGCACATCTGAGGCGCACACACACACTCACTCTACCCCCCCGTATTTAAAATTCACCATGGTTTTGTGCAGCATCAAGATCTTAGGATACTATTTTATAGGCTCCTGTCCTCCTCCCTACACTGTTATTCATAACAAAGTCTCTTTCTGATGAGTTGCTAAAATACACTTGGACAAGAAACGTCACAAAAAAGTGACTATTTTAAAACAGCTTCTATTTTGCATTATTTTCACAGTGATCAGGGCTACAGGAAAAGTCTCCTTGAAGATACCCTCCGTCAGATTGTTCTCTATCTTCCAGTGAAACCAAAGCCAAAGGACATGCAGCAGTGGCTGCCCTGTCCTCAGTCATGAGCAGGATAAAGGTGAGGAGCAGATGGATGCAGGCAACAGCTGTTCTTGAGCCTCTCCTCACATCCCTGAGCCCGTTGCTTCTCCTCTCTACAGCTAAGTAGCTGCTGTATGTTCCTCCTTGCCCAGATCTGAGGTTTAGGTTTCACTGCCTCACCTCTCTGAAGATCTGCGTCAGCTTTTCGGAGCAGTTTCCATAGCGCAGACTCATGTCCACGGTGTAGGTGCTAAGAGCCACACAACCACGCGGCTTGACAACACGATTTGCTTCTTTCATGAACTTCTCAATATCAAACCAGTGAGCGGCTGTAAATGAAGTAAGGAGGTCCACTGAGCCATCTTCAAATGGCAGCTCCTCTGCAGGGCACACACTGGAAGGGAGAAGGAGAAAAAGCAACATTTAATACTGAAATTAGTAAGCAGGACATGAAGCCAGTGGACTTTTTCTGGAGTTTGACCCAACTCTCTGCCCAGGATATAGGGCCACAGCTACTCTAAGTCTTGGATAATGCATGTTCACACTAGGAATCGCCGTCACATTCCCCAGACAGAAGTGAGACACTTTCTGCATGAGATGTGTAAGAAGGAGCTCTGCTCAGAAATAATTTCCCTTGCTGTCCTATTAGCAGAGCACCAGCCCCACTTGCAAAGCACCGCTTTTGCGCAAGGACCTGAATTTTCCGTGCACGACACTTACAGGTAAGACACGTTGGGAAGGGAGGGCGCATCCCTGGCCTCTTGGATCTGAGCTTCGCTGATGTCCGATCCCACCACCTTCTTGAAATGCTCTGCCAGGAAGCGAGTGCCTTGTCCTGACCCGCAGCCCACGTCCACTACCAGTTCGATGGTGTTTGTCCTCTGAAGCAGGGAGATTACAGTATATCCTGCAGAAAGGCTCTCGGATGCCCATATTTTCCACCACCCCAGTCATCACCAGGGTGTCCTGCTTAATTATTTCTCCCTGTGGTACCGCCCAAGCCAACATCCCCAGCGGGGGTAAGGAAACCTCATCTTCCCCCAAAATCTGGCAAGACCGCTTACCTTTTCCTTCAGGTAGGAGAGGATGGTTTGCTGCAGTTCTTTGCCAGGAGCAAACCTGTATTTCTGATAGACCGCTGCATGTCCTTTCCCTTCAAACAGCTGCGTGGCCATGCTTGAGGGACTTGGCACCTGCGAGGAGGAAGTCCGCCTGGTTGGTCACACTAGCTATATGTCCAGGTTCCTCCCACCGGGCAGATCCATTGTTAAAGTGTAACATTGGAAGGGCATTACAGGAAGACTTTGCACTCACGGCACAGCATGAGAAAGTGCACTTTGCTTTCCCAGTACCTGGCCTGCAAGAACAAGCTGCGTGCAGAAGTGGAGCGGCAGCATTTGAGAAGGAAAAACTCGCTAGTATTTTAAATGCTTCCTCTCCTTTCTCCTATTTTTTTTCCCCCCTGGAGAGGGAAAGGGAGAAGCCAAAAAAAACCAAAAAGCCACCACCATCACAGCTGGAGTGCCAGTAACTTTATAGGACCTGGCAGAGTGGTGGTGGGGGGGGCAGGACACATCCTAAACTAACAGCAGGAAAACTCACGTGGACGTTGCTTTCACATGCATACAGAGTGCACAACCCTACTCTGCTTACTTAGGAATTTAATCCCTCCCCTATCTGTTAAAAAACAAAAAAAAACAAACAAAAAAAAGAAATCACATGGTCCATCCAGGCAGGGGTCCATCAAACTCAGGGCCAGCAGTTCCTGGTCCATCTCTTTTTAGTAAGATAACATCTTACACTGGAAGCATCTCTCTATCCTGTTTATCTCAGCAACCAAGCAGGCATTTCCCATGACAACGGCAGCTCCAGGATCTGGAAAATCTGCCGGAAATGTTCTCGGCCATGTTTTATGGTCACCCACAGCACCCTCACACTCACGGAGACGCGGCGAATGAGTTGGATAAGAGGATATAACCAATGGGAAGAGCCTCGAGTGACACGCGAGTATATATTACTCGCACATCCTGCGCTGCAGGAGCCAAAATAGGAAGCGGGTTAGCTAGCTCAGGATTAAAATATTAACAGCAGGGAATATCAGCCCTAGCTCATGCGGCTGAAGCCTGCTGGGGAGGAAAGGCGCTTGGGGAGGTCTTCTCCAAGCAGCTGGGCCACCCCACCGCCTCCGAGACCCTCACACCAGCAGCATCTCTTTGCCGCTGCTGGCAACGTTCCCGGCGCGGGGGACAGGCACCACGGGCGCGGGACAAGGGAGAAAGCAAGCAAACAAGCGCCACCCTTCAGCGCCGCACTGCCCACCCACAGCCGGCCCGCACGGCTCTTCCCCACGCAGGCCTGCCCTACGGCCCCGGGCTGGCCCTGCACGCTGCCACCACGGCCCAGGCTTGGCCCCAACTTGCACCCAACCGCCACATGCCATGTGGCTCCTTCCAAAAAATTTAAAAAAAAAAAAAAAAAAGAAAAATTCAGGTCCTTTCAGTGCAAAGAAGGGTTAAGGAGTCAGCATCCCCTTGAAAACAGCGAGTTTCCCGGATTCAAACAGCAAATTGCTCCCTCTAGAGCAACTGTGGAGCTGTGTTCATCTGGGAGGCTGGCGGCTGCGCAGTGCTCTGTGCTAACCCAGCCAGCACTTACAGCATCACCGCGCGCAGCCAGAGCTCAGGCAGACGTCAACTCTCTGCTCAAGGCTTGCACTGGCATGGGGTCTCCAAAAACATGAAGGCAGCTGCTAGAGAGTTTGTCTCATGGCAGGCTCTGGAGCGTGAAAGCTGACTCCTTTCCTTTGAACAGTTACTGCTGTTATTAATCAGAGATAGCTTTCAAATCACCCAAAAAACAGGGGTGGGCTTGGCAGCCCCTCTGCTCTGAAAGCAGAGCAGATCAGACACAGATGCTACAACCTAGCAAGAGAACAGGAGTCAAACTCCACAGGATCCAAAATCTGGACTTACAGAGGTCCTGCTGTGCAGCAAATCCCCTCCCGTTGCCCAGCACGAGGAGGGGAAACACAGCCAGAGCCCTCACAACCAAGTGCCAACACTAAGAGCAAACAACACCGATATTTCAGGAATTAGGTGAAGATCCTCCCCTGATATGAGTCAGGGCTTTGCCATTCTGTGCCGGCAATTGTGGGACTAATGCTTATTAGCAGCTGACTCCAGCAGAGCCATGGTCCACCTGAACACTCTTGCTCCACTTTGCTTTTTGCACAACACTTGTGAATCTATGCTAATTAACAAGGCTGTTAAGCCCCTGTTAATTTTAAGGGCTTTGGTAAGTCAGCAGAACTTACGCTGGGGCTGAAGATGAGGGCCACCTTGAAGTGCTTTGCTGAATCGAGACCTGTGTTGAGGTTAGTGGGTGAGTGTTTTTAGTACTTTCATTTGGGCCACCTGCTGCAGAGCAGCTCAGCAAAGAGCCCAAAGCATCCTGCAAAATCCCCCGATCACAGGTGTATGCCAGGGGAAAAAGACTCTCCATTTTGATCACCTGGTCCTCTCAGTGTGAGGATTGCGGCACCTCCTTGCTGCTATCTATTTTTTCAGGTTTTCCCTGTGTGTTCCTTCCAATAGCACCAACAAGAACTGAATCTGCAGAGTTCAACAAGTGACCTTGGTTCAACTGCGGCTCTCAAGAAAAGAGAAATCAGATTTTTTTTTTTCTTTTCCTTAGCTAATGGACCTGCAGCCTAGGGTAAGAATGGGCTCCTCCATCTCAGATAGCTAAATCTTGATTCTAACCGTATTTATACCTAAAGCATGCCTCTGTGTGCTCCACGAGAATGCAAGGGAAAGGTTAGCCTTAATTATACCAGGGGACACATCTCTACACCAAGAGAAAATATAACACAAGCACCAAAGACCACCCTGTTCTCATGATGCTCTGTATTTTGCAAAATCCAGCAAGCGTTCAGTTTCTCTGGTTTCTGTATTCCCTAATTTTAGCTGCATTTCTGCTCAGAGCAGGAATTTCAGAGTATTCAGGAATTTCTGCGGTATTTCAGAGTATCAGAGACTGTCCACCATTGCTACCAGCCTTCTCATTAAGGTAGAGGGCTTTAAGGAACATGGAAGTACCTTGGGGTCCTCCCACCTGCCCTAATGCTATGGGCCCTGTGGGCTTCCCCACAGGGAATCCCGAATCAATAGGCTTCCAAACCCTAACCTTAACGCAGAAAAGGAGAACATAACCTATAGACAGCCCTCAACACTTGCTCGCTTCTGGAGCGGCACGTTCCGCAACGTGGAGCCACAGAGGCCTGTTGACTCTGCCTCTCTGCCTGACTTGGCGGCTTTGCAAAATCCAGGGGCAAACTGGGCTTTCAAAGCTTTGCTTTTCCAAACAGCATCAATAAACTAAACCCTAAGCTCACTTATGGCCAAGAGATAGATTCCTGCCCTAAAAATATTGTGCTGTAACATGTTTTGAAGACACCAGGCCTCATCTGAATGCTGCAGGACGCTGAAACCCGAACCACCAACACCGAACTGAGCTGATTTGGACCCAACACCAAACGGAGGTTTTGAAACATTGAATTCCCACCTCCTGACCCATACCTCAACCCTAGCTTTAACCAGGGGTGAAACACTTCCAGATTAGCGATCATAAAGCTCATGGTGTCTCCAGACCTCTTCCTAAATCAGCAGCATTGTTCATTAAATTGCATGTAGGACGCACTCCAAGTTGTCCAGAGCGCTTGCTTGTTGGTTTATTTCTAGGCTCCCTGCTGGAGTGAGTCAGCTATTCCCCTCCCAAAAGGCAAACATACATTTATTAGGATAGCTTGTTTCCACATGTGCCCCCGCCCCTACAAAGTGCTCCTTGTCCAAGGAGTTTAGGCCCTTGATATGCCAACAGCAAACCTGGCCTGTGAGGCAACCATGTCTTTACTTTGAGCACTTTGAAAGATACTCGCCTCTGTGCTTCTGCGGTGGCTTCCTCAGCTCTCCACACTGACATTTCAGATCAACCCAGGCTGGCTGCAGGGTACACATCCATATTTCAGGATCAATGCATGACTTGCCAACGTGAACAGGAGTCCTCCCAAACCATGGGAGCTGGCGTTCGATGCAAGCCAATGGCTCCTTTAATGTTTTGGCAGTCACTACTACCGTTGACCTCTGAATCTCGGTCCTCCAAGAGCAAGGCTTGCTCCTCAAGGCAGACCATGTGTGAGGGACCTCCAGGTCCCTTGGAAAAGTAGGTACACATATGTACAGACAGGCAGAGGGGAGGATCAGGTATGGACCTGCCCAGCCAGATGATCTCATGGTGGTGATGTTCGCTGAGGTATCACTACAGCCAGGAACGAAAACCAAGGGTTGCCTCATGTTGCTCTTTC